CCCCTGGGGGGACCCTTCCGCTAGCTCCCCGGGATCTGGGGCGGCTGGAGGCTGTCCCGCTGTCTCCTCCAGGCTTCCTCCGTCAGTCTCTCCCGAGCGCCCGGCTGCCCCGCACAGTGGCGAGTCCCCAACACCCGCTGCAGTGAGAATGAACCCCACAGTCCCAGGAAGTCCCGACTGTCTCCTGTAGAGCCCGGAAGGCTTCCCGGAGGGGGTGGCCGCTGCGCTAGGCCTCCAGGACTCAGCAGGAGTTGAGGCACAAAGAGGAAGCCCTCACTACCTACCCAGGGGCAAGCTCACCGGGAGGGCTGGAGAGGGAGCCTTGGACGCCACTGGCCGCGGCTGAGACTGCACTCTGAGACGGGGAGCCATGGGAGGGTCCAAGGATTTAAGGGGAGGTGGAGGGACCAGAAGTTTGGGCACTCCGGGGAGGGGGTGCTGGGAGGGGAGAAGGGAGGGATGGAACAAGTGTCTAGATTCTGAAAACAGAGGCAGGAGGGGTGTTGGGTCTGGGAGTGAATGGACGAGAGGAGGGGCTGCCAGGCTGGGCCTCACCGCGATGGGTACAGAGGAGAGCGGAGGAGAGAGAAGACAGGAAAGGGGGTCTGGGCTTCCCTCTGGCCCTGGGCCTGCCCCTCGCTGGGAGTCAGAGCAGGGGCGGACCCCAGGGGCCCCACTGCACTGTCCTTTCTCACTGATCTGCGTCCTGACAGCACAAGGCCCTCTGGACCAGGAGGCGGTCACCACCCAGGCTGGACCTGCAGAGGCAGGAACCCGAGGACGCTGCCTCTGTCTGGGGGGGTGGGGGGTTCAGTGGTCCTCCTGCAGACCCCACAGTCAGTCTCTGGTGCTCTGTGCAGGCCCTGCTGCCCAGCCCCCTCAGCCCCCCATTCCCATTCCTGACCCCAGCCAGGCTGCCCCCTGCGAGATCTCTCAGGGCAGCATTTCTCGGAAGCCAGAGCTGTGTCCTCCCAAGCCTTGTCCCTCGCCCTGCCCAGAGAGAAATGTCTGAGAACCCCCGCAGCTCCCTGGCGCCCCAGGGCCACAGTTGCCCATCAAGACGGAGCCAGTTGTGGCTGATCCCGAACCAGGCCTGCCCGGAGGCCGGGGCGCTGTCTGCCTTGCTGTGGGTGGAGGAGATGCCCGCACAACGCAAGTGCTCCTGCTCCGATCCACACACAGCCGGCCGTGCACCACCTGGGGCCAGCGAAGGAGCCAGCAGCTGGCACATCTGGTCAGGTGACTCTGAGCAGCAGGGGGTGGCCAGGCGTCAGGCCACAGCTGGCCTCCCTGAGTGCCTACCCCAGGGGAGTGTGCCCCCAGAGACGATCACTCTAGGACAGCCATTCTCACGGGGGGGGGGGGGGATTTGGTACTGTCTGGGGACAGTTTTGGTTGCCACCAAATGACAACTAGGAGGGGACTATGCTACTGGCATTTGTGGGTGGGGCCAGGGATGCCGCTAAACATCCTACAACATACAGGACAACGGAGAATTACTGGGCCCCAGAGGTTGGTACTGCCACGGCTGAGAAACCACCCTGGGGAGAAAGAGACGGTCCCCAGCGGAAACCACAGGAATGACACGTATGAATGCCCGGCACTGCCAGCCACACAGCGTCAGAAATCTCCCAGTACCTGCATGGCGGGGCCCCGGACCCTTGTTCAGCAGGAGAAGGTGGGAAAGTGAGATTCCCGCCCCCAGGTTCTCAACTAACCTCTTTCCGTTTGGGTGGTAGACACACAAGGCATTGTACCAGCGATTGTCAACCTTTTTCATCTCATGGCACACAAACTCATGACCAATTTGCCATCTGACAGAAAACGGGGCATCATTTTGATTCATCCACACCAGATGGCCACTGTGTTGGCTGCTGTTGTTTTTATAATTTAACAATTGAAGGGAAAAGAGGTCAGTGCCCCTGACTAGACTGTCAGGTGTTGCATGTTTTAAAAATTCTTGCGGCACACGGGTTGAAAATCGCTGCCATATGCAGACGATGATGTATCATATAACGGTACGCCTGGAACCTATAGAGCGTTATTAACCAATATCACCCCAAGAACCTAAATAACCTCCTTTCGGCTTATAGGCGGCAGAGTTCATTTATGCCAGTGGTTCTCAACCTTCTGGCCCTTTAAATACAGTTCTTCATGTTGTGACCCAACCATAAAATTATTTTCGTTGCTACTTCATAACTGTAATGTTGCTACTGTTATGAATCATAATGTAAATGTCTGATATGCAGGATGGTCTTAGGCGACCTCTGTGAAAGGGTCGTTCGACCGCCAAAGGGGTCGCGACCCACAGGTTGAGAACCGCTGGTTTATGCTATTTCCTACCAAGAACCCTGCTGGGGGACCCACCTAAGTATTACCAACCCCCTTTCACAGGTAACCAGCAGAGGTCAATGAATCTGCTCAAGGTCAAGCAGCCAGCCAGTGGATTTGGGTTCGAGCTAGGCCTGTTGGGATTCTAAATTCCAGCTCCCTCCACCACCTCCGTTGCTCCCCTGCCCCCACCTCCCATGCCTGCCCCTCCCTCTCCTTCCATATTTCCT